CTCACTCCCAGGCCAGATCAGGGACCCTCGAGCTTCCCCACCTCTCTGCATCATCCCCCTTATCTTTTCAGACCTTGGTGCTGCCAGCACAGCCTCCTCATACCCTTCCCATCTCCCCTCCATGTGTCAATTTTGTCCATATGCTAAAATTTCTGGGTCCTGACTCTAAGCTGAGTATCACCACAATGCAATGGATTCTGGGTGAGAAGGAGGAGTCATCTTTTCAAGCAATTTACAAATTACAAATAAGAACATGTTATTGTTCTTATAATTAGTAGCCAGTTTTCAAGTTCGTTATTATGAAGTGGATCAGGGATTCCTCACTTAAGTCAACTCCCTGGAAACCCCTTCCCCTGAAGTCACCATACTGCCTAGGGACAGAGGGAAGAGATGACCTCTACCAAATGACACATTGAAGGAGCTCAGTCACCCTCCGTGTGCATGAAAGGTCATCCAGGACACACTTCTCAGTGTCAGGTTATTGAGACAAGGGACTCTTCCTGGGTCGTGATCTCATAAATTCAGATATTCTTCCTTTTCAGTTCACAAAAATAGTTGCCCCAATAACACTGATGGAGACAGGCTACTTCTGTGATATTTCAGCCTCCAAATTCCAGTACTCCAGGACTGACTTCCATGAAGGTTTATCATGAGCTCCTATATTTTGCCCTAGTTAGACTAATGAGAACAAAGTAAATTTGAGTTCCTTATTTTCTCTCATCCTTTCTTCATTTGATTAAGTATGCTCACATAAAAGATACAGGAACTGACTGCAAATTAAATTACTGAACTCAATTCTGAAAGGTTATTTTGTTTACTGTGACTTTTATTATTTGTTTTGAAGTCAGCAAACCAAGTAATGCACAAATAATAGAATGTGTTCTGTTGTTTTGCTATTTATGGTAATTTTTTTATAAATATTTAGTAGAGCAAAGATTATGAAAGTTGTCCTACATTCAGCGTGCTTTTGTGAGTGATCTGAGCCCATTTCTAAAGTCATTTTTAGGGTCCTCTTCACCTCAGGAAGTCCATTGATGAGCACTGACCCAAGCCTGGGGTCCATGCCCGGCTGAGGTCTGACCTAGGATCTGGGCTCCAGGTTTCTCCTCTGTCTCGATGGGTGATTTGCTCCACTACCCAGAACTCGTGATATTAGAGATGAGACAGAGTGTCCTGGCAGGGTGCCCTTAGCACCTCTCTCATTCCAAGTGTTACTCAAATACAGACTTCGTCAGACACCCACACCAGACAAGACCAGTAAGGTGGAACATTCCTCACAACTTAGCAGACTTTCCTTGTGTTTCTTCCTTTCTGATGAATTTCATAAATGTCACAGAGATTGTGTGAGGGTGGGGAAATTCCCACCCAGGTGTGGGTGAGCATGTGCTGCTGTGTGGGCAGGAAGTCAGTATCCAGAGGGGGCTGCAGGTGATGGATCCCAGGCGCCTGTGTGCAACTGCTCCAGATGGCAGAAGACACACATGCGTAGTCCAGATTTTTATCCCAAACATCAAGAGGAAGACAAACTAACTTCCTCTTTATTAAAGAGTCAGAAAGCAATCACTAAACACCTTCGATGAGGAGTAAAGCAGAATTTGAACCCAGGGCCGTCTGACCCCAAAGCACATCACCTGTCAGGGATTCTCAGTGTCCAGGGAGCCCTGGTTAGGCACCAGCAGCCCTCCCATCAGCAAAGCATCCAGCCTGCCCTGCCCTCATCTCCCTGATGCAGACTTGAGGGCTCCTTGTGTCACTGGCTAGGTGAGTCCTTCCCGTCCTGGTGGATAGAAATCCCGCACTGACTATTTCTGAAGTGACGGGTAACTGGAGGTTTCTTACAGGAAGGAAGCAGTCCAGGCTACTCCACCTGCAAGGCAGGCAGAAGCACAGCTGCACACCCTAAGCAGAGCACCCAGGAACAAAATTTTCCATTTCACTTGATAGGGAAGGGTTTGAAGATTCCTGTCTTTTGTAGGAAGGACTTTGAATAGTCATGCCTCCTGCAGGAAAAGGAGAGGAGACAGTGCACAGCAGCTCACTTTGCACACATCTGAAAATGTGCCTGTGACCTGTACTACAGCCAAGCTCTCACTACCTTGTCACAGTGACGCTGTAAGGAAGCCAAGGACAGTGCTCATTCAAGTTCATCGCCCTTTTAGGTAGACATGATCTTAGCCGTTGGCCTGTAGGTTGGTGTTTTCTGCCACGTGTGTCAACAACAGGTTTCCTGCTGACTGCCCTACCCACAAGCTGCTCCCTAAATCATTTGGGGACCTCGGTGGCTTTGGGTGGAGTTAATAAACAAGTGACATGTTCTGCTCTACATCTTACTGTGAAAGTGAAAGTGAACGTGGGAAACCGCTTTTTATTTGATGGTGGAAAGCAGAAAGGCTGCGGAAATGGCGTTGTCTTGGATCCCCAACCCCAAGGTGCTCTTGGTGCTGCTGCTCCTGAAGGGCTGGCCGTGGTCCTGCGCTGGTGAGATGGCTTGTGGGGGGCTTGTCCCCTGCAGCGGGGTGCGTGTGACTTTGAGCAAAGCGCCCTGCGTGTAGGGAAAGGGGTGATGGCTAAGTAAGGATTCTCCCTAGCCAAAGGCGGGAGCGTCTGGGAGCAGTGGGGAGGAGGTGGCGGTGTGTGTTTAAGGGACCAGGTGCTGCTTTGGGGGAGTGTCTTGAGGCTGTCCTAGAGCGGTGGCTGATCGCAGAGGCTCAGTGACCCCAAGAAGACACGTGAGTATCCGAGGGGTGGAGGCGTGGTGGCAGTGGGTGCGGGCAGCGGGGGTCGCAGGAGTCTGCAGACAGATGATGCAGCGGTGTTCCCGGGACAGGGGTGTCAGCAGGGAGGCTGGGTCTGGGTCTGGGGATGCGGGGGAGGGCGTGGTGCGGGTCGGGCTCAGAGGCGGGGTTTGGTAGGGTTTTGAGTGTCTCCTTAGCATATTCATACAATGGGTGGGGGTGTGGTGAGTGCTGAGCGACTGCTGGAGCACCGGGATGGGGAGTCCGCAGGGGTCAGCGAGTAGCTGGGTACCAAGACAGGGAAGGTGAGGGGTGTGCAGACAGGCTGTTGGGGGCCGGCAGTAATTAAGGGTGGGAGGGGGCTGTGATTAAACAGGAAGTGAGGAAAGTAGAGGCAGTCCATGGCCCGACCATAGAGGTGAAGGGGAGCCATGGGCAGGAAGAAAAATTGAAGTGAGGGACGGGGGAGGATGCACCAGCTAAGGGTCTGGGGTCAGGTGTGGGCAGAAAGGCAGGAAAGGGTCAAGGAAAGGGGGCACCGAATTCATGCTGGCCTTATCGATCAAGTTTGCGGTATCTCCCCCCATCCCTGGTCCATTTTCTGCTACAGTTTGTATGAGATTGTTGCTTTATTCTCGCTCAGCCTGGTGATGCATGCCTGTAATCTCAGCTACACTTCAGCCCATGCTCCTTTGTATCTACGCAGGCTTTTGCTCCGTAATATGCTGGTCCTTCCTCCTGCATCTGTTTCCTTTTGGAATACAGTCTTCTGTGTCTGAAGAACTCATATTGGATTTTCCCTTAGTGCAAACTTCCTAGCAACCGCCCTGCACGTCGTGTGTGTTTTTCTTGGACTGTCTTCATTTTGCATTCCTTTTATTACAAATAGAGAATTCTAGGCCGTCATCCTTGTGCCCTGGAGCCACTCCAGGCGTCAGACCCGCCCAGTTAAATGCAATTCTAGTTTCAAGACCCGCCGCCCTTCTCTGCCCCCCATCCCCGCCCCAACCCCTCCCCCAGCACCTGGCCAATAGGCAGCCGGGAGCTCCCGCCAAGCTTTTTGAAATGCACTTTGCAAAGCCCTGGGTTAAAGTTTCCTCGCCATCTTTTCAGCTTCCCCTCCCCTTGCATCAGGGTGGCCCTGGCTTCCAGTGCAGGGATGAGGGGCAATGCCTCCCTGTGTCGCAACTACCGGATTCCACCCTGGGTGTCCTTTCCTGCGTGGGGGGCGGACCAGGTGGCGACGGTGAATTTGGGGCGGTGATCGACCACGTTGTCTGTATTTTGGGGGTGACCCCCACCCCACTTCTGGCCTCTGGGTGAGCCTGCCCTGCCTGCTGGAGGGGTCTGTGACTGAAACAAGCCTCACCCCGAACGGCATTGACATTGTTCTCCCCAGATCTGGACTGAGCTCCAGGTGCACCTGGCTCTGATTCTCTCCTTGCTTCCACTCCCTAACTAGGCTCTTGAAGTTTCACCACCGTGTCACGAGAAAAGTGGTGTAAACAGCTGTCTTCTGTAATTTCCTGTTTGCTCCGAACATGTGTGGGTGTGTGTGTGTGTGTGTGTGTGTGTGTGTGTGTGTGCGCGCGCGCGCGCAGGGAATTTGGCAGAAGCTGATCTCCGAGCTGGTTTGCAATAATGGGTATGGATCAGTTTGGGAGTTGACACTCAGCCCAGGTCGTGCAGCTTCTGCTACAAGGACAACCTGTCCTCTGGCTGCTGGTGCACTTGAAGCCATCTAGTAAACCTATGCTGCTTTCTTTGTCCCTGTTCTGGTGCCACCTTCTGTCCTCACTCCAGATGTTTGTTTAGTTTTGTTTTGTTTTTCTGTGTTCCATTGTCTTGTCCTGAAGTTAATTCTGTATTTCCATGTCCAGTCTGCTATAAGACCCATTCAGTGAGTTCTAAAATTCATATGCTATTATTTAATTTCTAGAAATCTTATTTATTATCTACTTATTTATTTATAGTGGGAATTGAATCCTGGGCCTCACGCATTCTAGGCAAGTGCTCTACCATTGACTACACCAGAACGCCCCCCATCATAGTTATTATATAGTTCAATAATTTGCTGAAATCCTTTCTTCTTTTCATATATTTTCCCTATATATTTTTAAATATATCAAATTGATAGGAAATCATTTTTTCGTCTAGTGCTAGAATCTGCTCCCATTGTCTGAAATTTTTACTCCCCTTGCTACAGTTTGGATCACAAAGGTCCATGTGTTAGAGGCTTGGTCCCCAGTCTGGCACTTTTGGGAGATGGTGGAACTTTTCGGAGGTGGAGCTTAGGGGAAGGAAAGTGGACTTTGGGGTCCTGTCCTTGAAAATGTCATTGGGAGTCTGGCCCCTCCTCTTCCTCTGTCTGTCATTTTGTAGCTGCCATGGAGGTGAACAGCTTACTCTACCACTGGAATCTGTCTTGCCACGGGCCCAAAAGCAACCAGCCAACCACTATGGACTACAACCTCCAAAACTATGAACTAAAATAAACCTTTCTTTTTTTAAGTGGATTCTGTCAGATATTTTTGTTACAGTAATGGCAAGTCAACTGATAACAGCTCCTGACTACCAGTGGTAGATTCTTGCCTCCTGTATTCTGGACGTTTTCATTGCTTCTTGCACATTGCCCCCAACACACCTGTTTTAATTTCTGTTGTTTCCATCCACCTGGGGCTTCATCCTTTTCCTCCGTTTGGCAGAACTACAGGGGTGAACACCGCAGTTCAGTCAGGATGCACCTGGGGCAGCACAAAGTTCACAACTCCAATGGGGTTTGATTGTCTGAGCTGCAGACTCCCCGAGGGTCTAACAGAGTTCCTTACAATTGTCTTTTAAGTCACCAAAGAGTGCCTTTCAGAGATTTTCAGCTTGATCTACTCTCACCTGCACCTCTCAGGATGTCCCACGCATTTCTGTCTTTTTCTCCTCAGACAGACATTAGTCCTCCCTTCTTCCTTTTACACCTCTTTAAGACTTTCTACTCTAATCAACTTGCCTGGCCCTCTCTTTCCCTCCACCCCTCTGAGATGGATCAGTACAGAGCTGTCTGACTTCAGTAACTCAAGGCAAGTGTGTCACCTGTCTCCTCTGTCCCCAGAAACCCACACACTCCGCTATGACCTCATGGCCTTGTCTCTGGATGGGCCTGGGAAGCCCCAGTTCCTGGCCCTGGGGTACTTGGACGATGAGCTCTTCTTGCACTATGATGGGGAGAGCTACAGGGCAGAGCCCTCCCCTGGGCTTGCTCTCAGGAGCAGGGGACAGCTGGGAGCTGAGGCCTGGGCCAGAGAGACTGAAGACCTGCAGGACAAGGAGCAGCAGCTCAGGAAGACTCTGGCTGAGATCATGGGCCAGGAGGGCCAGGATGGGGGTGAGTGCACAAAGCCAGAGACAAGCTGGGTCACCTGGCTGCAGCTGAGATAGGACAGAACGTTCCAGCCTTTGAGTTATGCCACATAATCAAGCCCACACTTTCCTGTGTTATGTGACCCTGGTCTTTTCACTCTTGTTCTGCCCTTGTTTTTAGAAAAGTCAAGCTTAAATTGCCTCCTTGGTTAAGTGCTGTGAGAGAAAACAAAATGGGGTCTTGGGAAACCGGTTGTGGGGGAAGGAAGGCAGGATAACAACACCAATTGTCAGCCAGTGGTTCCCAAGAGAAAGGTCAGGTCCAAGGCTAAAGAATAGCAGCCACAGTTAGCTGACTATCCTTATGCACAGTCCCTCACTGTCCCCTAGAGCATGCAGAACTGGCTTGGTCATGGAAGAAGGAGGCACATACCATCTAGGCCAGATTCCCAGTCCCTGGAGACCGTTGCAGCGCCACTTGTCCCATCAGTGCCTGCAAATCCATGTACTCCATATGCTGAAAGGTGGATCTTGTCCCCAGACAGCAGGGACTTCATGTCCTCTCAGGGTTTCCAGGTGGAACAGGGCCTGACACCCACCGAGTCAGGAGCAATTGGAGCTGGGTCAACCTCCCACATTCCTCCCACCACTGGGGTTATGGCCTCCAGGGAGGGGTAACTGTACATACGGTGATTCTTTGGGGCTGATTGGTTCTTGCTCTCAGTGTCCCATCAGGCAAGGACAGGGGGCGTCCCCAGCCTCACGGTGCTCTGCCTCTTCTTCCCCCAGGTCCTCCAACAGTGACTGTGACCTACAATAAGAAGCCAGTAGGCAGGATAATGCTGAAGTGTAGGGCTTTTAAATTGTATCCTCGGAGTGCCAACCTGACCTGGCTTCAGGATGGCGAGCCCACGCACCAGGGCACTTTTGGCTCTGGGGCCATCTTACCCAGTGGGGATGGCACCTACCAGACCTGGGTGGCTATTCGGGTCCTTCCTGGAGAGGAACAGAGGTTCACCTGCCAAGTGGAAGACCACAGGGGAAAAACTACTTACACTGCAGTCTTTGGTGAGAAGCTGGGGGAGCCCTGGCTGTAGGGAGTGGAGGCAGGGACAGGAAGGGCCCACAGAGTGAAATCACCACCCTTTTCAGGCAAGCATCCAGGACATCAAGACAAGCTGACTCTCAGTGCAGCCACTGCTGCTGCTCCTCTGCCTGTCTCCATGCTTTCTGCTGTGCTGGTATTGGTGATCCAGGCCTAGAGGAGCGAGGACACAGAGGAGGGAAGAAGCCCAAGGGCAGGGACAGGGGGACAGTTCTGTGCTCTGTCTGGTGGTGAGTGGAGACAGTGCTCTTCTTTCCTCCAGGGGCAGCACAGGAGCAGACAAGCCCTCTGCCTGCTAGAAAAATCACATCCTGAAGGTGCTGGAGAGCTAGCCCAGAAATAAGAAGACTGGGGGAGCAAGAGAGGGGAAGAGAATCAAGCAATTATCTTGCCTTTCACGTAAGATCAGTATGTTGGAATGTGCAATTAGCTGGGGAGGAAGACGCGTTTGTGAAACTAGTCTAGATTACACAGGTAGAAAGTAGCATTACTTCAGCACCATTTATAACCCCAATGAGTGGATGGATCCAACCAGCCACCATCCAGGGCTTCCACTCTTGCAATTGACAGGCTGCTGAATGCTGGGTATAGTGTCTCTCAGCTAAGTTTTCAGGTCACAGAAGCAGAGAACTCGTTTCAGCCTGAGGAGAAGCGAAGTCCTGATTCCAGGAAACTGCAAGACAAGTGATCCTGTCCCTTCACCAAACACATGACCAGAAAGAAAACAAGCAACCAAAAGAGATGAGCCGGGAGCCAGTGGCTTACACCTGTAATCCCAACTACTCAGGAGGCAGAGATCAGGAGGTTCACACTTTGAAGCCAGCCCAGGCAAATAGTTCGAGAGACCCTATCTCAAAAATACCCAACATAAAAAAGGGCTGGTGGAATGGCTCAAGATGTAGGCCCTGAGTTTAAGCCCCAGTACCACAAAAAAAAAACCAGATGGAGGCTAAGTGATGACAAAAGGACATTTGAGAGTCAAAATAACTGGTGGTGACTAGGGTCCTCATCTGGATTTTGATTCAAACACGTAAATGTTACCAAAAGAGATACTCAGAGGATATCTCATTAAATATTATACCTGGGCTAGTTGGTGGTCTTAAGTAATTATTGTGAGTTTTAAAAATACATACTGCTTTTATATTTTGAATTCACATACAATAATTTATGTTTTTTTAGGCATGTTAAAATTTTGGGCCTGGGGATGAACATATGTTGGGGATTAATTTTGGAATAATCAGATGACAGGGTTAGAGATAGAGATGGCCCAAGAGACAAAAGCTGGTGAGTGTCTAAGCTGATTGATGGATGTTATGTGGCTACTATTTTTGTGTGTATTTGAAACTTTCTCTAAGAAAGTGTTTTTAAAAAAATAAGAGTCACTTATTGAGACTGGGAAGGAGTCCCAGACCCTCTGACATGTATGCTTGGTGATTTCTGGACAAAAATCACATAAAAGTTGAGAAAGTCATAGAACAAAAATGCAGAAAACAGAATAAGCCGCAGGGCAGATGGGAAATGAGCACAGAAGAAAAAAATGCAGACCTAGGAGGGGATAAGAAATTCAGAACTGCCAAGTGTGACTTAATGAAGATAAATGTTGAGTGGACAGGCAAAATTCCAGTGCCTTGTTCTAATTTTTATTCAAAAATGAAATCTTTAGGCAGGATTATGCCTGTAATCCTAGCTACCTGGGAGGCTGAAATCAGGATCCAGGTTCAAGACCAGCCATGACAAATAGTTCATGAGACCACAACTCCAAAATACCCAGAGCAAAATGCACTGGAGGTGTGGCTCAAGTGGCAGAGTGCCAGTTCTGCAAGCGAGAAGCCCTGAGTTCAAACCCCAGTCCCCCCACCCACAATGTGTGACAATAACAATGTACAGGGAGGAGGACACAGTGCACGTTCTTATTGGAAAAGGCATGGTGATGTCACAGCAGTGTTAAAAGTAGAAATTAGACTGATACAGGAGGGATATTAAAATCTCTAGGGTGAGCACAGTTGAACTGTGACATGTACAATGAATAGGCTTTTCAAGGGAAGTATGGAATGACATTGCTATAGTCTGAATGTCCCCCTCATTGTTGCATGCTGGAACTTCGTTCCCCAATGTGGTTAAAAGACGAGGCCTTTGGTGGGTGACTACACCACGGGTGCCCAGGCCTCCTGATGGGATTGAGGACCTTTTCACAGAGGACCTCTTCACAGCTGCCTTGTTCTTTCCACTGTGAGGACACAGCGAGATGGTGCAGGTTGAAACTAGTAATTTCTGGTTTTCCCGTAAGCATTACGAACTTTTGTGACAACATTCAAACTGTCCTAATGTTGATTCTAAATGCATATGGAAATTTAACGTTCAAATCACTATTTACATAGAGCACTGCAGTTTGAAGTGTTCGACACATCGATGGGTTTTGTTTGCTTTGTCTTTTGTTTGCTTTTGTAAATATTTATCGAGAAGAACACAGCTTGCTTTCTTCTCATCATATGACTTATAATACGCAGTGACACATTTTCTATGCTGGGACAAATCATCCTATGACTAGTGACACATGTTACTTTCTAAGTTTTACCCTTTGCACTTTCAAGGTCTTCAACTGTGTAAGAATTTCCTCGATGTGCAAGTATTTTGCCAGTGTCTCTTCCTTTGGTGGCCTCATCCTTTTTGTCACAGTGCTCTCACTCAGGGTGATCAGCTCACCTCCCCTTAATTCCTTGGGTTGCTTCTCTAGAGTCCCTCCAGATACCGCGGTGTGGACACCCCAAGGTCAGCTAGCTCTTCTGCGACCACTAGACTTTGGATTTACTTCCCCTCCGGTGTTAATCACGTTTTGTTTCTTTGCTGCACTTGACTCCTTATTGGTCAATTTCCTCTTTTGATTTTCCATTTTTGAAAAGTGCCCGAGGCTTTCTTGAACTCCAGGGGAGAAGGTGGTGACAGAACTACATGCTTTGCCATCTGGGCAAGAACCGAACAATGCGTGAGCAGACTTTGCCAGTCATGAGGTCTAGCTCTTTGTCAGGATGCACGGGTACTGCCTAGGTCGTGGATAGCTGATTGAAGGACAAGCAGGAAACTTATACTTTACGCAGTTACTCACAGGCGGTGTACCTTGCTGCTGAAATCTGAACCATGTTGTTGAGAGACAGATATTATTTAACTGAATTTTAGTAACTGAAATTCATGCATATTAGGACAAGGAAAAGTGAAGACTGCCTGTCTTACAAAGTCATCAGAATAAAGCTACAAAAACAGAACAGTCAGAGCTCAGTGTCTGCAGTGATTGTTTCCAGGATCCCCCCATGGTATGAATATGCACACGTGCTCAAGTACCTTAAGTAAAACATCTACACTTAAATTTCACACAGATGACACCCCTCCTCCTGCATGCTTTAAGTCACCTCTAGATCATTCACAATCCTGAGACAATGTAAATCTAGGTAAATGGTCGTTATGCACTGTGCTGTGTAAGGAATGATGACAAGGAAGGTGACGGTGTCAGCAAGGACAATCTATGTGTTCACATAGATTTGATCTGAGGTTGACTGATTCCATGGGTTCAGAACCACAGACACCGAGGACTGACTGCACTGCTTCAAGAAGAGACAAATTGATGAAGGGAACAGGGCTCAGAGAGAGATCCACACGTCTGCCCTCACCTGATGCATGGTAAAGCTGACACTGCTGTGCAGTTAGGAAAAGATGAGGTTTTCAGTAAATGGTGTTGTGTCCTTCTGATTCTTACACGGAAAAAATGTAGATATAGATTGCTCCCTCATGCCATGTACATAATAAATGTCAGCTGAATGGCACATCTAAAGGCAAATGATAAATAATAAGTTTTAGAAAAAAATATTTGTAGAACATCTTTGTGACCTTGATATAGATCTTAAACATGACCCAAAATCATTATACACAAAGGGCGAATGAAAGAAATTTACTTAAATGGAAACATATTCACTCATGTCAACAGAAAACAGAAATCTGTGAGTATGGGAAAGGTTCATCTGATCTGAGACCTGCTGTGATCTGCTGTCACTGCCCAGGACACCCTCGGCCACCCACCCCTGCCCGGGAGCAGACACCCCTCTCTTGTGGTCACTCAGGGTCAGACCTCACCATCTGCCTTTTTCTTGGTTGTCCAATTCCCCATTCTAGGGTTATCCTACCTTGTGTGGTTTATTATTTAAGAAAAATAAGGCTCCACAACAGTTGTATCCAGTGCCACTGTTCCCAGCTTTGCAGAACTGCAATTTCAGCAAAAAACATGGTCTAAGCATACCAAGATTAGCTAATGGGGACTCCTGTGAGGACATCGCTTCAGTGTTAGCGCCCCCTGGAGGAAGTGAGAGGAACACGTGGCTTTGGCTGGGTCCTCATAGAACACAGGATTCCTCATAGAACTTCCTAGTGTTTCCCGGTGCTTCTCTTAATATAACTTGGATCTTTCATTTGAATCCAGACATCTCGATGGGGATCCTGGTTGGAATCTAGGGGTCAAAGGTTAGCCAGTCCACAAAACCCACTGTACCCTCTCTGCGTACAAAGTGGAGGTGCTGACCAGGTGCCGTCCCATGCACATTTCCCTCTGTAGTCCGTCCCTGTATTGGGAACAAAAATAGGAAACTTTGATCCAGGCAAGAATGAGGGATGTGGGTGGCCGTTCTCCACCTCAGGGAGGACACCCTCATCTCAGTCAGAATCCAAAGGCGTGGGTGCCTGTGATTTGGGTGACAGGGACAGTGTTAGCAGCTGGGGTGGGCTCTCGGGTTAGGTAAACCACACTGCAGAAAGTCCACCGGAAACCTGATCACCAGACAACTGTCCGGCTTAAGTGAAGTTCTGTGTCCCCCGCAGCTACACCATCATTGTGGCCCTGGTCCCAGCTGGGGTGACTCATGTTCCTGAATAGTGGGTGCTCTCTGGCTCCCCCGTGTGTAGGAAGGCAGCATTGGTTCTCTTACATTTCTTCTGATGGCACCCAGCCTTCCTTCCCATCCCTGGAAAGGGGGCTTCACTGGTGTGATTGTGACCTGACCCAAACCAGTCTTTAGTCCCCAGAGAGGCAGGTGAGGAAGAGGTCACTTTCTGTGTTCACGGTAAGTGGGTCCGGTGTGAATTTAAGACACCCTTTAATGAATCAGTGTTGGAGCGATGTGTCAGGAATCCCGTGGTTTGCAGATGACTAACACAGTGACTCCTAGCTATGGTCGCTCTCCTCCTGTGGCCCCGACTCTCTGCGGTGATTTGCCTTGTGGCTGTGAACGTAGCAGCAGAGGGATCCGTGTGCAGGACAATGTAGCATGTGCTCATGAAGCCTCTGTGCTAAAGGCGACCAGAGGCAGGTGAGCCCAGCTCAGCTCTCGTTGTGCCCAGTCTCATGGACCCCTGACCCGTCATGAGCCCATCTGTTCCAGTGACCAAGAGAAATGGGCTTCAGATGCCCACGGTCACCCTGCCTGGCTGGACCCACACTGGGACTGACTCTGTGGCCTCTGACACCACCCCAGTTTCTCTGAAGGTCTGTCTTCCATGTTGCAACTACATGTAGAACTCGCTTTTCAGTGTGTGTCACGAGAGAGTGGGAGGGAGAGAGAGAGAGGAGAGAGAGAGAGAATGTTGGGACTCAGGCTGTTTTGGGTTTCAAACTGAGCACGTGGGGCGCAGCAGAGTCAGGACAGCCATCTCTCAAGGCCTGGAGGCAGAGACTGCAGAAGATGCAGGATTCTCTTCTCAGGATCCCTCTCCCACTTGGGGATACTGAGGCTCGCTCATTGCTCTGCAGATTCACAT